ACTGTGCATAGTGATAAAAGTTTCTGATTGTTTTAAGATGCTAATCTCTGGACTAATTTGTAATGATAGTCAAAAATGAAACAGAAAACCACAGATAATGCAGAGATTAAACAAAAGCCAAAAGTTCATTCTTTAAAAAGATTATTAAAAACTAATACACATCTGGTGAGACTTGCGAAGAAAAAGAATGACTCAGTTATCCAATGTCAGAAATGAAAATAACACATGTAGATGCTATAGAGCATACAGAGATAAAAAGAGGGGTGGATGAAACACTTTGTGCCAACAAATGTGAAATTTTTATGAAAAGAACAAACTCCTAAAAAAATATATAACACTCTATTAATTGGGGTGAGGCTGACCTACTGTAACATACAAAACAAAACATACAATGCCTTAAAAAAAAGGATGATCTATTTCTCTTTTATTTTGCAGTTTTCAGGAAAGTGATCGATGAGGCAGCTTCCCTTGACGGGGCCATCCAGAGAGATCACTGATCGGAATTTTGCAGGAAAGAGAAAGCACACTCAAACAGGGCTGTTGAGAGAAGTTCTTTTAGGGGACTATTGACACAATGGTGGGAATGTAGAAAAGAAGCTAACAAGAAAAAGTACAACACTCCATTGTTAGCAATGGAGTGAGAGAGATTGCGGGGTGTGGGGGGGGGGTGGGGGCGGGAGTCCAGGGACTCTTTCCAACCCTAGGTTTGAAGGAACAAGGGGTGGAAGCAGTTACTAGAACCAGAAGAGAGTAAATAAAGTGGAGACTCTCCCAATAGATGCTCTGGTCATTGGTAGAAAGAGGCAGCTAACCTATGACAACTCAGCAGAGACAGCAGAGGGAATAAATGTCTTGACGGAACTCCCCTTCCACCCTCCCAACTAGAATCCAGAAGGCAGGGAGCTATTAATGGAGCCCAGAAAGCCTCCAGGACACAAAGCAATGGAGAGTTGCATAGAGAGTGTATCTTGAGCAAAAATAGCTTCATCTTATTGCTGCCCCATTGCCTAGGTTACTATAGTTATCTGCATGGTGGAAGGCAGGTCACCCCCATGTCTGTATTTCATCAAACTGGAAGGAGAAGGAGGTTGGTGGATGTCAGGGAGAAATACCCCATGTCTTAAGGCCTAGAACCAGGAATGGTAGTCATTATTTCTACTCCCTTACCAATGGTAAAAACTAATCACATGGCTGTACCTAACTAACTGCAAAGAAAAATGGATGATGTAATATGACTGGGGAGACATATGTTCAAGGAGGAAAAAAAGAATAAATTCTAGTGAACAATTAGTGGTCTGTGCCACAGTCCACCTTTTAGCCAACAAATATCCATCTGCACCCTTCTCTTACACATTAGTTCCCTCACCAAGAAATATAACCCCAAATTCCATCCAATTTCTGCATCCAGCTCAAAGCACAGGATCTCTGGGTGATGTTTGGACCTCTGCGTTAGGTCCAGATTTGGCTGCATGAGGCAGCCTTGAAAATAAAATGATTGTCTCCACAATACATCCAATTACAATGGTTGAGTATGAGCTGAATAACTATAATAAACACTCCTAGTTAAAAAAAGAAGAAGAGGAGGAGGAGGGGGAGGAGGGGGAGAAGGAGGAGGGGGGGAGGAGGAGGGGGGAGGAGGAGGGGGGGAGGAGGAGGGGGAGGAGGAGGAGGAGAAGAAGTATAGAATATACTCAGTAGTCACTGGTCCATAACAATGATATTATTCCACCAGGGAGGAAATGAGGTGGTTACTTGTCTTGGCAGCGGTGTATTTTCCCATGTCCTCTATGAATCCAAATTTTGCCCTTTCAGAATTCTTTCTGGTACATTATGCTATAAGGCCACATCTAAAGTGAGTCTTGGAAAGACTGTGTAATTTTAATAGCCTCCTTCTTATAGGTGTAGGTTTGAGAATCTGAGGACATTTCCAGGCCAGAGTTTTGGTTGCTTTTGAAATGTAAGTATCTTAGAAATCTGATAAGCTTCTGCATCTGTTTGTTTCCAGTAATTGCCATGTGCCAGCAACAACATTCAGATTTCTTTTTGGAGGTTAGCTTTTTAGCCTAGTTTACTTCCATGTCTACCCACTTCTCTCTCCCTCATTCAAATGCTGTCTCCTTTGAGGCCATCTGAAGGAACAGGTAAAAGGAAGCAATATAATCTCCCACAGGGCTGGCTCCCTTGGCTTTCCTAACTGGGAGGCATTTGGGAAATGCTATGAGCTGTAGCAATTTTACTTCCTGGCGTTGGGGCACAGAACCAAATTTCTAGACCTTCTCTATAGCCTCTGCTTTAGGCCTGCTAGTTCTTACCTGAGCACATAATTTTATTACAGTCCTCTACTAAAAACATTAAAGAACAACCAACCTTTACATATGAACATTCTGGTTGCTCTCTGGGGAAATGGCCAGCCTTTCAAGATACTGCAGGAAATGGTTTTATTAAATATTTTTGTGAGGCACATTACAAGGGTCTCCAGCTTTGTAGCCTGTGATGTTTCTTCAACTCTAACCACATATTTAAGGTTACTTTTAGAACCACTTCTAGGTTCAAATTCCTATATTTTTAAGGTCACGCTAAGCTGTTGTAACAAAGTGACCTCTTATTTAGTGGCTTAAAGAATATAGAATTACTAAAAGATAGTACATCATAGTGGGTGAGAGCACAGATTGCGGAGCCCAATTTTCTGGATTTGAATCCCAGTTCAGTTAACTTAATAACCGTGCAACTCTGGCCTTCTCTGAGTCTCAGTTTTCTCTTCTTCAAAATTGAGGTAGTAAGAGTAACTAACACTTAGGGTCGGTAAGAGGATTAAAATAGTGAGGATATGTAAAATTTAAAACAGTGCTTGTTATACGCCAGTGTTATATACACGCTTCCTAATTTTAAAAAGCATTTATAACCTCTTTCACGTCAGAGATCTCAGATGACTGTTCCTGAGACAGATAAATATGAAAACTCTGATCCTTGTGGTACTCCAGGGGTCTAGTAGTTTTCACGAAGGAGCATGTATTCTGCAGAGCATTAACATGTTCATGATCAATCATCATATTGGATTCCATTATATTGGATTCCATCCCATAGAAAAGGGAAAGAGAGGGTGAGGAGACAGGCCAAACATCTTCAGACCCAACCTGGAAATGGCACTCCTACTGACATTCTATTAATAACACCATAGTCGTATGCTGACACCTAATTGGAAGGGAAGCTGGGAAATTTAGTTTAGCTGGGGAGCCTTATGCCCAGAGAGGATTTGGGTAGGTAGCCAGTGTCCTCTATCATAGTTCCTTAAACTGACTCAAGAAGAGTTTGTAAATCATTATAATTCTATTACCGTTAAAGAAATTGAATTTGTAATAAAAAATTTTAACACTAAAAGAAACTAAATACTAGAGATAATCAAGTGTTAATAAAGTTGAAACGGATAAACACATTGTAGTAAACTCATACAATGAAATAGTATACAGCAATGTATACCACAACTAGAGCTATTTGCAACAACATGGATGAATTTCACAAATGATGTTGAGCTAAAGAAAATCAAAATTAATACATGTGGGGTGATTTTATTTGGGTTGAATTCCGAAAAAGGCAAAATTAAACAATGTTGTTGGGGTATGCATGCTTAGGTGGTTACATTAGAGAGAAGAGGAAGATGATGGTTATCACAAAAGTTAGCGTAGTGGTTTCCTCTAGGGAAGGCGGGGGTTGTTTATGGTCAGGGTAAGATACATGGGGAAACTTCTGGAGTACTAGCACTGTTACGTTTCCTGACTTGGATGATGGTTTGCATTGATATTTCTTTATAATTATTCTATAACTGTGTATATATTTTTTATACACTCAGGTATATACAATGTATCTCACAATAGATTTTTCATGCATATGGAAAAGCTAAGAACAACTTCAGAAAATAAAAATGAAGGGCAGGGATAGACCTAATAATAAAAACAGTTTAGTATTTGTTCAAGAAAAAACCAAACAGACCAATGGAATAGAACAGAGATCTCAGAAACATATTTCTGTCTAGGGAATTCAAATAAGATAAAATTAGCAGCACCAATTAATAGGGTAAGGATGTTTGTTTAGGAAACGGAAGTGGGAGAACCGACTCGCACTATGGAAGGACATAAAATTATGTCCTACCTGACATCACTAGGTAACTACCAACCAAGGAGCAACTCTATAACCTTTAGAGTTAATAGGAGACAACATAGGAGAGTATCTTTATGACCTAAGGATAGGGAAGGACTTCTGAAACAAAGTTCCAAAAATATAAACCCTAAAACAAGAAAGTTGATTGAATGAATCATCGAAATTAAGGATTTCCATTCAGTGCAGGACACCATTGACAAAGATAATAGATGAATATCAGAATGAGAATTATTTGCAATGTTAAACTGACAAAATATTAATAAGTAGAATATATTAGGAACTCTGAAGAATAACAAAGTGGAGATAGTAACCCCAAGGAATAACAGGCAAATAGTGTGAAGAGGCAATCTGCAGAAGAAGGGAAAAAAATAAAGCACATGAAAAGCTCAGAATCTTTAGTTATCAGAGAAATGCCAATTAAAACAGCACTCTTAAATTACTTTATACCTATTAGGCCAGCAAAATTAAAAGGCTCAATATTGTCAAGTGTGGATGGGAAGTTAAGAATACAGGGTAACTTGTGCATCATAGGTAGGAGTGTAGATAATTTTGGCCACAATAAATAAGACCCAGAGCTCAAGGAATCATAAGAACTGTAGGATCCAGAGTCATGCCTGCAGCCAAACTAGCAGAGCAGATGCTTGCTATACTGCCTCTTTTTTCAAGGTTTCAAATTTACTCTTGCTCAAGCACTTCTGATTTGAGACACAAAATCACCTCCTGTACTATGGCTTCAAGAGTTGTGGAAGTTTAGGTTCTATTTTCCACCTCTTCAGGATAGGAAGGTGTATTAGAAGAGTGGTATCTGACCACTCCCACCCACCACCCACCCCCCACCCCGGCCAAAAACCCGCCCACGCCCCAGGTGAAGTTCAGGAACTGGTATTCTATAAAATCTCCCTACATGATCTATTATGTAGCCAGGATTTTAAAACACTGCACCCAAAGGGTGTTGGAAAAGTGGTGGATGGTGCTGAGTTGGTGTCTCCACCACACCATCACAGAAGACCTAGGTGCACATACAGTATTATTGATGTGCTTGTGTTCATATTGTTTGTCACAATACTGCAGGAAATTGTCTATAGAAAGAAAACAAATCAATTACTTTTTGCCAAAACTCATTTTTCCCATGCAATGTGGTTGTTCAGAAAGCAATTTACTGGAGATGTAAATGACCATAATTAGCACAGTACAGGGCAAGTCATTCAACTGAAAAAATCCAAGAGGAACATGCTTAAGTAGGAACAAAGAATGTAATGGAAACTTTTAACACACAATTTGATACTCTCTGCAACAGACAGAGCAGAAAAAGCTTGGTCCATCAGGGATGACTTTGGGAAATGGTGAAATGATTACTTACCACAAAATTGTGTTCATTGTGTTCAAAGCTCCAGACTTTGCCCACTAGAGGAGCCCTGTGGTTTCTAACAGCTAACTGGTATATCACATAAACCTGTAAAATGTCACTGATTCCATTAAGAAGTAAAACCTAAATGAAGTACTGATGGAGCATTCTGTGGACTGTTAGCAATTTTCACTACAGAAAAAATAGTGGCTTCTGTAGTGAATCTGAAGGCTGCCTGTGGGTAGAATGTAAGTTCAAGATCTTTGGAAAATAGATTATGAGTGGATTCTAGAGAAGCCCACTCGTGTTCAAAATAATCACATCATGTGCTAAAAGTCACACAAACACACATTCACAAACACCCATATACACCCACCCCATATATAATTAATGGAAACAATAAGGTCAGATGTGCCCTACCATTAATAGGTTTAAATATTTTGATCCTTTCCTTTTCTTTATCTTGCTACCCTCACTCCTTTCCAGAATTTTTCCTGATGAGCACTCTCTCAGTAAATCATGTGCTTCTGAAATCCTCTGCTTCTAGGGAACCAGGCACTGACCTTCACTATGATTCCCATTAGCCCAAGAGAAAAGCTAGATACTCACTTTCTCAACCTCTACAGTAGGTTGGATAACTTTTGGCCCAAATATCCTTGTTCTTTTCCATTAGGCAACAACAGAGTATAAATAAATTAACAAGTTGACTTTAGAAACAGTAAGTGATGAAAAAAAATGTGATAATATCAAAAGGTTGCTGGAGGTGGCATGTGCTACTTTTAGCCAGACAGAGCGAAGATAATCTGTTAGAGTCACAGTAAGTGGCTTGAGCTAGGTGTGTACATTTTGGAAACACCAGCATACTGATGGTATGTAAATCCACTGGAATTGATGGGATCACCTTGAGGGAGAATGTAGAAAGAGAAGATAGCTCAGAACTAGTCCTAGGGCTTCATCATTTTGAGGTCAGTGACAGGAGGACCCTGCAAAGAAGACCAAGAAAGTAGGAGAAAGACTGGGAGAGGGTGGAATCATGAATCCAAGAAAGTATTTAAAAAGAAGGAAGTGGTGATCTGTGCCCAATGTGGTTACAAGTTAAGTATGATTAGGGCAGAGAAGTAACCACTAGATTGGCTAACACGGATGTTATGAGTGGTTTAATAAGAGCCAATTCTGCAGCTGAGTCAAAGGAACACAAGCTATATTAGAATGGTTAAGTGGAGAATGAGAGATTAAAGATATTCCCTAAAATTAGTTACTGAACCAAACAATCATTTTCTTATGCTTATAAATGAGAAAAGAATTTGGGCAGGGCTCAGCAGGCATTCATAGAGACAGCACCAACTTCAGGGGAGGGATCTTGTGCCCCACTTTTCAATAGGAAGAGTGTCAAAGAATTTGTTTCCATCATTAATCTGTTACAAGAGGTGGTAAAATGGAAGCAGCAACTGTTGACATGTCTTTCAAAGAGATTTAAGTTTTTTACAGAAGGAGCAGAGAAAGAGAGCAGTAGGTAGTTAGAATGTGGGATCAAAGAGTATTTTCCCCAGAAAACTATGAGTGACCCTAAAGCATGCTGGTATCTAATGGCAACATTCCAGAAAAAAAAAGAAGAGGTGGATGTTGTAGTAGGGAGAAGTTGTAACTGGGACCAAAATCCTTGAGAAGGAAAGAAAAAAAGGGACCCAGAGCAAAGAGAAGAGCTGGCCTTTCATGAACAGGAAACACTTCATTCATGGTAACAGGAGAGAAGGCAGAGACAGGTGTACAGAGGCACCTTCTACTCTGCTTTGCTCAGAAGTCTCCTTGTCAGTGATGCCTCCCCTGACTCCCCTTTCTTAAATGGTACCTCCAGTACGCCCTATACCCTTCCCTGCTTTATTCTTCTCCATAGAATATGTGCATATCCATAGTGCATATTCGCATTATCCATAGCACTGCATATGCAAGAGTGATATATTTTACTGATTTCTGGCCCATAGCAGGGACTCAATAAATGTCAGCCAAGTGCCTGGAATGAATAAACACTGGAGAGATGTACTTGATGAGCTGTAAAGTCAGGAGTGGTGCGGAACGAGATGCTTGATACCCAGATGTCTGAAGGTGACACACGGTGGTAGACAGGTGAGAATAAAATTATATCTTAGGGGTTCCAATCACAGCCCTCCCTTCCTTCTGTACCTTTTCTGGCTGAGTCACGGCGGGTGATCAAGTTACTGAACCTGAGCCACAAAGATGAGGACCTTGTTAACACAAAGTGAGCGCTCCTCAAAGCCTGGCTCTCCTTTCCCACAGCTCTCCATTTCCTCCAGCCTGCTAGTTCTCCCCTTTTTGCCCGGTCTAGGCAGCTAGTTCTCGGTCTCCTCCCTTTAAAGCGCAAGGAGCGTGCAGCTCCAGGCCGCAGGCGCCGAGCCCAGCTCAGGCCGTCGGCGTACGGGGCGGGCCGCGTGAGCTGCGCCGCGGGGAGGGGTGGAGCCAATCCCTGGGCGGCCCGAGGCTGCGGGCTGACGGGCGTCTCCTGCCCGTCTCCTGTCCTTGCGTCCGTGTATCCTTCCGTCGTCTGTCCCAGGCCATGGCAAAGCTGACAGTGCTCACCCTCGAGACTGGGGCTGGCACTCTTCAGGGATCACCGCTCTTCTTATCTGTAAGTTGAGTTGTGCCGAGGGCTGCGGCCCACCCCGCTTCTTGTCCGTCCCACCCCTTGGCCAGGCCCTGGAGGCTCCCGCCACTCCCAAGCAGGTTCCGGGCTCTTAGAAGATCTGCAGGCGAGCGCTGGACATACGTCCCACAGCGATTGCATCAATATCCAACTTTCCCCGGCCACCTGAAAACGTACCCTTGCTCATGGCCTGGGAGAGAGTTTAAGGAGAGTTGTTGTCGGTGTGAGTGGCCCAGCTGTTGGCACACACAAATTAATTTTTCATGAAAGCGGTGTATCTTGGCTACAGATTCACTTCCCAACTTTGCTTCAAATTAGATAACCAGATTGGAGGGAGGCCCTGATATTGTGTAAATTTAGGGAAGGAGCTCCCGCCTTGGCTGCCCGGCCGTGGCACAAACCTTCCCAGCTTGGAAGAGACAGAAAACTCGCGTGTGGAGCGGAGCAGGTGGGAAGGAATGGGCGCCGTGATGGCCCACCCGCTCCAGTGGGGGATGCGTGGGGCGTCAGGGGAGAGACCCTGGCACTGGCATTTGATGTCCTGGGCTCTTGCTGTGTCCCTTCCATTGTGGGATCTTGGGCAAATCACTTTACATTGCTAACATTAGCTGCTTCAGTAAGCCTCGTATAGGAAGCACTTAACAATGTGCCTGGGATATAGTAAGTATTAAATAAATGTTAGTGCCCTGCTTCCCTTAAAGTATTTTTATAAAGCTTTAAGTACTATACAAGGGGAAAAAGGTTTCTAAGAATGTATCGGTAGTTTTGTTAGTAACTTTTTTTTTTGGCTGCGTTGGGTCTTTGTTGCTGCGCGCGGGCTTTCTCTAGTTGCGGTGAGCGGGGGCTACTCTTCTTTGCGGTGCGCGGGCTTCTCATTGCAGTGGCTTCTCGTTGCGGAGCACGGGCTCTAGGTGCGCAGGCTTCAGTAGTTGCGGCATGTGGGCTCAGTAGTTGTGGCTCGCGGGCTCTAGAGCGCAGGCTCAGTAGTTGTGGCGCACGGGGCTTAGTTGCTCCGCGGCATGTGGGATCTTGCCGCACCAGGGCTTGAACCCGTGTCCCCTGCATTGGTAGGCAGATTCTTAACCACCGCGCCACCAGGGAAGTCCTAGTAACTTTTTAATAGGGGTTCAAAGTCTAAAGATCATCCTAATCCCTAAGGCTTAATCAATAAAATCTCATTATTTACTTTGAAGTACAACATCACTAAAAATCAAATTGAACATTTTGGATTTTTAGAAAAAAATCGTATGACCCTATGGACTGATTAGAAACATACATTCAGAATAGGTTTTTGTAACTATTGGGTTTTTCTTCTACTTGTTGGTTATTTTTGGAATCACAAACTGTTAGAAAAAAGTAAGAAACAGTGATTTGGGGTTTTTAATCATGTAAAAATTATGGTTTGTGGATTTTCATTAATCATGGTACTATTTGTTGCCAAAGGAGAATATATATAGTATGTATTACATTTATATGTTTATAAATACATTATATATGTATATTTGTGCGGTATTACACTGGTGTTACCCATTATGAAAATAAATGAGATGTAAATATCTGACACCCCTTCTAGGCTTTCTCCTTTTGATTCTCCATTTACATCTATCCCTGGGTTTGTTCTGCCCACACTCTTCAAATTGCCCCACACAATTTGAAGATAGGCCCTCACTCCTTCCTGGCAGATCTGTAATCTTCTAAAGGATTACAGATCTGCCAGGAAGGAGTGAGGGTCTATCTTTCTGGTTTACCTTCCTTAATTTACTCTAAGGGTGGAGACTGTAGGCATTTTGTATATGCTTTTGTGTAAAAGTATAGCTTTACCACTACCATCCTAAAAAGTTTCTCTATCAACATGAAGTCTTAGCTTATTTGATCCAACATTAATATTTCCCCAAATTTGTTCACAAGTCACAAGACATGCTCCATAAAAAATACGTTTCTTGGATAAATAAATTTGCGAAGTGTTGTCTACTGTAGACTTTTCCTAGAGATTGACAGTGTATTCTGGCATGTTGAAAGCTTTGAAAAGTCCTTCAGTAACAAAACAAACAAACAGAAAATGATTTTGCTTTGTCATTTCACAGACTTATTTGCCCACATCCTTCACTGCCTTTTTTGGTACCATCTATAAACATCCTGTATAACTCTCTGGGATACAGTTTGAGACAGACTATTGTACACCATTGATTTGCACCAAGACTTAAATTTCAACTGAAAAAGTTGAGGCCTGGCCTTGGGCAGCAGATGGACCTTGGCCTTGGTTTCTGGGCCCCAAGCCTGATTCTGATTTGTCTGAAGGGACCAACGCACACTATGGTCATAGCTGAACCTAATATCAGTCTCTGTGAGTCTCGCTGTTGGCCTTGCCTGTGGTTTCTTTTTGTGGATGGGGTGCCTGCTGGAGCTGCTTTGCCGTGGGGTTGCTGCAGTGGGATGACCTGGTCTAGTTAGAAGTAAGAACTTACTGTTTTACTTTCGGCACCTGGACCCAGCAAGTGGGGAGGGAGCCTCAGTCCTTGAACTTCTGGCTGTAATCAGATGGCTGAGAAGGGAAAAGGAAAGTGGAAGTGGGGTGGACCTCTGGTTGTTGAATAAAAAAGAAGGCTAGAGCAGCCACGGCAGAAGTAGGAGCAGGAATAGGAGCAATGGGCAGCTAGGAGGATGGGTGGTTATGAAGATGGAGGGCGGTTGCAGAGCCTTCGATTAGCCCAGATACGGGAGGAAGGGAAATTGCACTCACTGTTTGAAAAGCTCTAAAGCCTCACTACTCAAAAGGACTGTGGACCAGATGCATGAGCATCATCTGGAGTTCCCAGGACTTGCAGAATCTCGGGCCCCAGCCCACACTATTGAATCAGAATCAGCATTATTTCACAAGCTCCTCAGGGGATGTGTATGCATGTCTCTAAAGTGAGACAGGAGGGAAGGGGGCGGGCATAACCCTTGAAAGAATGACAGAGCCGTTGAGGACACAACAAAAACTGCTTAGCCGCATAGCACAGGGAGATCAGCTCGGTGCTTTGTGATCGCCTGGAGGGGTGGGATAGGGAGGGTGGGAGGGAGGGAGACGCAAGAGGGAAGAGATGTGGGAACATATGTATATATATAACTGATTCATTTTGTTGTAAAGCAGAAACTAACACACCATTGTAAAGCTATTATACTCCAATAAAGATGTTAAAAAAAAAAAAGCTTAGAACAGATTAGGCCCGAGATGGCAGAAGATTCCACTCGCAGTAGAACTTGAGCCTCATTATGCACTCATTGTAATACATTACCATATGCCAAACGACACACCCACAGGCGCCATGACACTTCCCCGGCCAACCATAGAAGGCCAAAAAGTGGGCGGTGACCCAATTCCTGGAAATCCTCTCCCCTTTCTCGAAATAGCTGGAATAATCCCCCCACTTGTTAGCCTATGAAATTACCCAGCCCATAAAAAGTAACCACTTCTGCACCCCGGGCCTCTTGCCTTCTGAGCCGGCTGGCACTCTGTCTGTGGAGTGTATTTCTCCCAGAGCTGCTCTCCTTCTGAGACGCCCAAGTTCTGTCTCTGGAATGTGTATCTCTGCTTTCCCTTTACTCTGGCTCGCTCTTGAATTCTTTCCTGCCCAGAGCCAAGGACCCTCACTTGGCGGCCTGAGACCTGGGTCATGACCCTCCTCTCATGCTCCATTTTCCTGCAACCTCTTTACAAAGTCTGTTAATAAATCTACTTCTTACCTGTCACTTTGCCTCTCGCTGAAGTCCTTCTGCGCCGAGACATAAAGAACCTGAGCTTCGTTAAGTCCTGAGACTAGATGTGCGGTTGCAATCAGAAGACTGTGGGTTTCAGTCCCCTCTTAAGCCAGACATTGTGGATTCCAGCCCCACACGAGGGTCGTCTGTGTTCGCGTCCCACATGAGGTGTGACTGGATTCGAGTCCTATCTGAGGTGGTATCTGAGGTGCGTGGTTTCAAAAGGACATTCAAATCCTGCGTCACGCATCTGAGAACCAGATCAAGAGCTCCTGGAGGGTCAGTAAATTACCTTTATCCCCATTTGAGAGATAAGACCTCTGAATCTCAGAGAAAATCATTCATCTGCCCAAAGGAGTGAAGGGAAGAGATTATGTCCTGAGACCGGCAGCAGGGTCGAGGTGAATCCGCAGAGGCGATACATCTTTTTTTCCTCAGAGACGCGGTGTATGCGAGTGGGGCAGGTTCATAAGAAGTTATATAGTCCTGGGGCTGGAAGGAACTTGTGGAAGAATACTTGAGGGGTTCCCGGATGCTTCTGAGGTGATAGCAGCACAGAGCAAAGAAAGACGGGAGCTCCCCTGGATCAGTAGTCTTCCCTGCGCTTCTTTGTAGTTGGCTGCTGTGGCCTCGCGCGATGTGCACTGCGCAAGTCTCGGAAATGCCGAGGACTATGATATAAACAGCGCCCCCTGTAGTGTGGAATGTTGCAGCCCCGCGTCTCTGGGGCAACTTCCTCATTCCTAAATTGCACACTGTAATGCATGAGACCCTTCATTAGAAGGAAACAGCAAAGCTAGCATTAATATTTCTGCCACCCCCATGCCCACTCTAGTGGGAAGCACGCTCTAGTAGGAAGAGGGCAGTGGGGGAATTCCAACAGACTTGGGTTGCATCTCAGTTCTGCAACTTTCAAGTCACTTTGTCACTGACCCAGATTCTTGGACTTTTGTTGTTGTTGTTGTT